AAACTTTGTGCGAAACTCGGTTAATTCAGCAAATTTTCATCAACATTTTAAAATTTTTAATCAGATTTTTAAAATTTTTTGAGTAGCAGTTTTGCAGTGAACAAATGCCGGTTCGGAGTTAGTCAAAAACTCGCGTTGATTTTTGAGATTTTTTTTTTTTTGTTGAAAGTGTTTTGCATTTTTTCCATATAAAGTATTTTCGAAAAAAAAAATTTTGTATGGAAGTTGACTGCGTGAAAAAAATGCCAAAAATCAACGGTAAATTCCTAGCTACTTAAAACTTGCACTTTATTATAATAAAATTGATTGGGCTACAAATCTGCATACTCAAAAAAAAATTCTAAAAATCTGATTAAAAAGTTGAAAATTTGCCTGAATTTCGCGAGTTTTTTCCGCGAAGTTTAGGAATTATATTTTTTGTTTTTTGTTTAGAATGAACCATATTTTTATACGAAATTAGCGGAAAAATATTAGAATGAAAATTGTTGCATATATTGTGAAAAATTTGCTGTGCCAATACTTTGTTCCGGCAGTGTAGGTACATGCATACGAAAATATGTACATAGGTATAAATTGGTTATGAGACAAATGTACCATACATAAGTCTTCACTGTTACAACTAAACTTTGAGCGACCTCTAATATTTTTTGATTTCAAAATAAAAAATATGGGTAATTTTTTTTATATTGAACAATTCCAGAGGTATGTAGGTATCACGTTAAATTTTTGGCCTCAAGCAGGGCTGCCAACTTTGCTCAAACCGTGTCATTTTTGCCCTATTAATATTTCTATACATTTTTGTGAAATCCTTTGCGCTGCTTTTGTGATATCCTTTGCGCGCACTTCTTTTTCTCGACAAAAATTTTCTAATTTCTATAGTTTTTACCGACTGGTTTATCTTACTTTGGCATTAGACTTCTGTTTTAGAAATGTGTTTCTAATTTTAATGCTAAATGGGAGGAACTAAAAAAATTGCCCTTTGTTGGCACTTTTTATTTTTCTTTTTGACACATTTTGGCACTTTTTTAATCTCAACATGTCTCTTATAGCTAAGTATAGTTGACAGCCCTGGTCTCAAGTGTGAATTTTGTCAGCAGAGCGATAAATAAAAACGTTCGTCGAACCGCAGCAAAAGAAAACATACGAAATCTCATTCGGGGAAGATTCGGTAGTTAAGCTGCCTTTACATGAGGCGATTTTTTGACAGGCGATTATCGCATGCAAAAGATGACTTGTTGCTGTCAAAAAATCGCCTCATGCAAAGACAGCTTTACCTACGCAGGTATTTTTTTTTTTGTAATAAAAGCTAAATTAATTACATACAGGTGTTAGTGCAAATATAGCTCAGTATGTAACTAAAACCATGTCCGAACTCCAACCTTTGTATACAAATTAGGAAAATTCGACAAAGCTAATTAAAATTTAAACTTTTCTAAAGTTTTTTGGAAAAAAGTTTAATATGCAAATTTGTAGTAAATTTGTTAAATTTTAGTATAATAAAGTGCAAGTTTGAAGTAGTAAGGACTAACTTTTTTGCTGGCGGTATCACGAATTTTCTTCCATAAGTAGGTATAAAGTATTTTCGACAATTTACAATTACCACTGTACAAGGTAGATATGTACCCAAGAAAAGATTAACAATTACGGAAAATGTAGTTTTGAAGCAAAAAAATAAAAAATCGCGTCAAATAACTTAAGTAGGTTTGTGTCTTTTTCACATTCAGCCTTATCGTAAGTTTCGCCCGAAATTTTTTCATCCACCCGTAGATAATAC